TTTCTGTTTAAATGCAATGCATATATTGACGATATAAATATAAAATGATACCTTTAATGTTTTTGGTGTTAACTTTATCTACATCTGTTTATAAGATTTTGTAAATAGGAGGTAATTAATAAATTTTACATATTTTGTCCATTTATCTCAAATATAAAATCAGTTTGTAGGATTATAAATTCTCGACTGTCTTTTATGAGAGGTATATGTATATCAGTTAATGTAATAGATGTGGGTAAATAAATCAATAAATAAAATGGTCAAATTAGATTAGGTAGTTAAAACTAAATTTTTGATGTTTTATATTTTTTCAACTTATAATTTCTCCAAAAGAAATTATTCTAAATCACTTTTCAGTACAATTACAATTTGCAAAATTATTTCGGAAATATAACAACTGATTAGTATTTCTCGAGGATGCTCCGTAACGCCTCACATTTAGCTGACCCTGTAAGAATATGGCGTTTTGCTGCAATGTAGCAATATAATGCAGCAGTTGCAACTCAACTCTTTTTTTGTTCACTGTTATTTGCTCGCATTTTGCATGGGGAAAATATAGCTGGTTTTGTGAGAAACAATTTTTTTAGAAGCATGTGCCTAAGATAAATCACCATTCTGGACTTTCTTGTATTGGGTTTTCCATATTACGTGACGTGTAAGTCATTGACGTCTTAAAAAAGTGTTCAGTTCCTACCTACGGATTAGAGCAAAAATGTAAATGGAATTAATTACCGTTTAAAAAAATATATCTTTCATTAAATATCAATTTAGTTCTGTAATTATAGACGTTTGACTTTATTACATAATAAGGATGGAAAAATAAGGTATTTAATACAATAAAATGCTTGTTCCAATGCTTACTTCCCAAGAATATTGTTATATTTTTATTGATTTCATATTAATTTATCCATCATAAAGCAAAAGTCAAATAAAAGTAACCCACTTTTCTTTTTAAGCATTAGTATCATTCCAGTTTGAATATTATTTTTGTAAAACATATATATGTGGAGAAATGTTAAAATACATATACGAAATAACATTGTGACATTGCGTAAAAGCCAAGTAAGAATTACTAATGAAGGTTAGAAATATTAGACTATTACGGGAAACACAATATGCATTTACGAGTACCTTGCGGACTAAATATTGTAGACATGTGGCTAGACATGCAGAAGGTCGTTTCTCATACTTGCGTAAATCCTCCGACTTCACTTTTATTTCCTTTATACATTATATATGAGATACAGTGGGCCATTTCCTACATTCTTAAAAGTGTTCAACAGTTTTCGCAAGGAAAGCCCAATTCTTGAATATATTTTTCAAGTGATCATCACAAACATGTTTAGTAAAATTGAAGAACTAATATATAATAATAAAACCAGAAGCAACATATAGAAACATACGTTTGTTCATTTAATTGCTATTTATATGTTCATCATTTTAAAACTTTTTCAATTCTTCTCACGATGACATACGATTTTTTAAATTTTGGTTTGGATATGACAATAAAATCATCACTTAAAGAATAAGACAAAATACCAATGAATGAAATAATGTTATTTTATTAAATGTTCAAATTGAAATTCAGCTCTGCTTATTCGTGAAGCAAATTCTGCCACTATCTCAAATTTCTAAAATCCTGTAAGCCTTGGAAATTTAGGAAAATCTGATTTTATATATTATTAAGGTACATTCTATTTGTGTGTGAGATATGACAAAATGTTAAGAAAGAAACTGGATAAGTCTGCAAAATATTAACCCATTACTGGCCAAAACAAGAAAAACACATTTTTTAATGATTTTTTTTTATTAAAGTATTTTCAAAACACACATTAAGACTAATTTACTATTGAAAAAAATCATAAATAGTATTTTGAAAATAAACACGTAGGTGCGTATACGCACCTTTGGCTGAAAACAGTTACTAAAATTAATAAAACTAAATTAGTTTTTTATGTGAAAATTTTCAAAGTAAGCTGGATGCAAATGCACTTTACACAAATAAATAGTATTATTTTTGCGAAATCGACACGTTTTTCTTGCACTATTAACCTCTCTATAATATAATATGCCCGATATTGTCAAATTTGACTTCACCTGGTAGAGCGGATTGAGAGGGTCTTCTGTGGGTTCAGTTGAATACTGCGGTATTTGAAGCAACATCGCTGTTTTCTGTATCTAAAGAGAGTGCCAAATCCGAAAATTTTAGCTGAGATTTCGTTCTGTGCACAGAGTAAAGTGCATTTGCATCCAGCTTACTTTGAACATTTTCACATAAAAAACTAAAAACGTCATTTTCCAAATCATCATCACTATCTATACTTGGTTGTACTTCATACATTCCTGCAATATCCGTCTGTAATCCCTCTTCTCCAATAATATTTTCATCAAAGTTTTCCTCATCTGTAATTTTATCTGTTTCTGGCGGCACATAAAAAACATCAACCAATTCAGCATTTTCACAATCTGAATCCTCTTCTAACAAAGCAAGTAACTCTATAGTGGTTAGTGCCCTTTTCATTTTCTGTTTTGACAAACGACTGCAATAATATAAACAAAATTATACATCTATAGCTTCTATGCAAGTCAAAAATCTCTTACCTCATATTGGCACTAGATATATCCAAAAAAATAACTATTATGCATTACAAAAAACTTTAGTTCAAACAATATTTTATACAAAACTACACTTTTTTACACAAAGGAAAACCAAGAAGTACACTCTGCTAATAATGAACTGATATATGTTCTGACAAGTCCCGTATTTTATAAGCCAAGATTTGTCCAGACTTGCATAGGAGTGAATAAATATGTCAATCGTTATCGGCCAAAGGTGCGCATACGCATCCACTACATATATGTATCATTATGACCATCGTTTTGAAAACATAATATGTAAAAAAACTACATGAGTATCAAAATAAATCTTTTATTTACGCCTGGCTCAAAAAAAAATAGTCTGCTCATTTTTACTAACTTAGAATAATATTTGTTTGAAAATGTGTTCTAAAGTTTTAAATACCGTATTTTATTTTAAAAAAATAATATTGAAACAATATTATATTTAATTAAATAAAAATACTAGTACACTCTCTGGACTGTTGACATAAGATTCTGTAGGTAGGAAAGCATAGAATTTTACGGATGATCTCAAAAAATAAAAGGGTACGTTTACGCACCTTTGGCCGCTAATGGGTTAACGTCTAGGCCTATTTGATTTTTTGCTTAACTTCAGAATGTTTCGATGATAAAGTGCTCTCTCTGATACAACAAAATGTGATTAAGAAAAGTTTCTCAAAAAGAAAAACTATGTGTGCATTTTACTGTCCTAAGCCAATTTTGAGGAAAATCTAAAATCAAACATAATGTCAGAGTATGCCTAGAATATTAACATTTTGCACACATATACTTTCACTTTGTGAAATGTTTCTTAAATATATTTGGTTCTGATTGGCCACAGTGCATATGTTATTTTCAGCGGTCTATCCTTTATGTTAAAACTGCAGAAAAATAAATATAAACTGCCTTCTTACAGGTAGTTTTAAATTAAGAATAATTTTAATTTTAGTTTTTTATTTAAGTACCTACCTACTCACTTTGTTTGTGTCATTTTATGTCTATTAAATTGAATATTTTACAATACACGCAATAATACTTGTTTATTTAGACTGTTTATCTATAATCCCTGTATTTACTGAATTTTATTAATCATAAACTCCTGAACTATAAAAATGCTATTTCTTTAATGTATATGTTTCCATTATTAGTGGATAGAAAATACAATTTTTTTTCCTTCTTAAATTGTATATATTGGTAAGTTAAGTACTATAATTCTTATAATCTTTCGCCATGCGTACTAGGGCTTTTTCAAATACATTTTTCCCAAAGAAAAAAGAAAAATTAAATGATTGTGCTCATATATGCAAAGGTAAAGGTTTTCTAATAGTTTAATCGATATGAAAGTTAAATTTTTTCTCTCTTAAGCCAAATATTGTTTCCTCCTTAAGACAAAATAGAAATATTTATAATGTCATCTTCAATGTGATATTCTTCTACGCCATAGCAGCAATTTTGAACAGAATGCTTACATATTTATGCTTGCATTGCTGTGTGGGAACAACTAAAGAATTATTAATAATATTTTTAAAAAATAGTACCTATTTTCAATTTCAGACGAAGTAATTTTTTATGACTTTGTTTACTTACTAAAAAACCGCGTTTACAAAATTTAAGTAAGTAGGTATCTAAAAAAAATAATTTTTGGCAATTAATAATTCGTTTCAATTTGGTTACATTAACAATTAAAATTGATAATTTTTATACTCAACAGTGTGTCTATATTTCCGAATTAATTTAAGTATGACTTAAATCGGATATATAAATGCTAATTATACAATATTAAAAATTAATGAAATAAAAATAGGAAATTGCCCGAGACAAAATATAGGGTTGCCACGCCCACCTTTGCATGTAAATGATTTTTTTATTCCTGTTCTCACTTTCAGTGAAGGCCATTAAGAATGTAGTAATTGTTAGGAATACAGTTTATAACAAATGTCTTTCATATATAAATGCGTTTCCTCATTTCACAAATAGACCACCCTGTACAGTGCAAGTCTTATTAAATGACCCCTTTTTATTTTATAGTTCATTTAAATCTTTCAAATTTATATCAAATGTTTGATGTTTGACTTTCAGGAAGTCTCGCAGTCAGTCTCAAAATAGTAAAAATATAAACGGTTTATGCATCCATTTAATCTGCAAATAATATTATTGTGACCACCAGCGATAAGAATTGTTTTGGCAATGAACTTATTGACCCAAATACATGTGTACGACTATTTATGCAGTACTCATTTAGTAGAAGAAAAATTATTTTTTATGTAAATGTTATTTTATAACCTAAATAAGAATATTACACAAATAATAGAATGCTAGTAAAAGTACAAAAAAAATTTGGTTAAGGGCCAATGCAACAAAAATAAAGAAAAACTACTTACCTATTTCTTTAAATTTTTTTGAATCTTCATCAGTGATATCGTACAACTCTATTACATCGATTGGAACACTATTCTTGATTTTGTACATATTGGTATTACTGTGATTTGAATAATTGTCGACTGCACAACATTTTGAAGAGTTCTCTTCCCTTCTTAGGAAACTTGTGATAAGTTTATCATACGTCTCACATGTTTATGAAACCAAGTGAATACAGAGATGCGCTCTTAAAGTGTCTGCCAAAACTTGATCTATTTTAATATAACAGTTATGTATGAACATATCGTACGAAAAAAATGTAGTGCAACTTTACGAAATATTATATTAGGTGACATTTTACATGTTTGAAATAAAATTTGTGATTTTTGCATATGTATATTGTGTGTACATACTTATGATTGCGGTTATACAGGGTGTCCGCTAAAGAATGGTCCAAATTTTATAGGATACAGAGTGCTGAAGTTAAAAAACATAAAACATATTTTCAGCTATGTCTCAACATAATAACATAGTGGACCTCTATTATAAAGTATAATTTCAGTTGAATTGGAAAAGTGCAAATGTTCGAGGTACTCTTTTTAAATAAACCGTACGCCATTGACTAAAATGGAATTGCCGTAGTTATAATTCACAGACATTTTTCTGCAAAAAACGTTCTCATGACCGTAAAATATACCATTTCCAAAATAAACTGATTTTCATTAAGAAATATATTTATTATTGGTTACAAATTTCACCCCACCTTAACTTTATGGTATTTATATTAAAAAAAAATCTAAAAATGAAAATTGTAGCCACCAACTAAAAATATCACAGGATGATGTTATAGTTTGCCCCTACAGGTTATTTTTATATACGGGGTGATTCATTAACAATGGGAAAGTCGAAAGCTGTAGATACTACACGTGAAATGGTGACGATTGGCGCAAACATGCCTTATCCGAAAGTTAATAGTTTCGGAAATACAGGGTGTTGAAAGTTAAAATTTTAAATCGTTTTTTGCGATTATTCTGAAAATATGTAGGTTAGGAACTTGAAAATTTGTGAAACTATATTTTTTTAGGCGACGATTAAGATGCGTGTTGTAATTTCAGCATTGCTCATAGAGGGCGCCACTTACTATCAATTTTACCGAAAATTTAGTTAATAACTTTTTCCCTGTATATTTAACATGAAATTTGATTTAAAGCCTGAAAGAGCTATCATTTTTCTGTTAGTTATGTACTCTTGTTTCATTTCGCTATCTCGATCCGTTTTCGAGAAAAATCGATTTAAGGAATACTATGTTTTGATAACATGAGGAATTAAAAGCGAAAGAAACCAAGTATTTCTTCGTGTCATTACAACAATTAACAATAAAACAAATAAAATACGTAATTATGATTTAAAGTATTTGTTCGAAGAATCCACCGTTGATACTGATTCACTTTACACGTTTTCTGAGAGATCTTCGAGTTTGAAACAACATATTGGGATTGCGTCTGACTTCGTTGGCAGCGATTTGTATTCTTTGCCATAACTCTTCACACGAGTCAATAGATTCTTTGTAAATTATATCTTTCATTCGAGACCAAATAGAAAAATCAAAAGGATTGAAGTCCGGACTTCTGGATGGCCAAGCAAAAATTATTACATGGCCAATCTAGCGATTTGGAAAAACTGCATCTAAATATGCACTCACTGGCCAAGAAAAATGCGGTGGAGCTCCGTCATGCATGAACCACATGTCTCTTCTTAAATAAAGTGGAACTTGTTCAAGCCGTGGAAGCATTTTTACTTGGCCACCCAGAAGTCCGGACTTAAATTCTCTTCATTTTTCTATTTGGAAGAATTTATTGCTTCGTGTGAAGAGTTGTGGCAAAGAAGTTGTGGGAATGGATTTGACAGAAAATATTACATCTGGATGTGATCTCAACCTTGATCTTGCTGTCAAGATCAAGGTCACAGCAAAGATGGACTACAGAAACCGATCTGGATGATCTTAATTTATGTGAGAAACTTATTTATTTATTTTATTTATTTATTTAAGGAAAGTAACTGTTTTGACTCCACTGCAGCAAAAGATATATTCAATGTAAACTTCTTGATATTTGGAATAAATAAACTAAACTTAACTAAGAAGAACTAAAGCGAAAGCGAAAAAATATGATTTAGTAAATACAGGGTGTTTCAGTTCGAGTGAATCAAACTTTAACCACAAATAGAACTCAGTAAATAATTTAGAATTGCCTTATAAAGCAAGGGTCTAAGTCTCACCGTTTTCACTGTATAGGGCCGTATTGTTTGGTTTTTAAAATGATATTATTTATGAAATCTTTGATATGAATATACCGAATTGATTCAAATTTGGTGTGGTGTTAACATTTACATAAGTGCATAATTTACTGTAAAATTTACAAATTTTTGTAGGTCAGTGGCGTAGAAGTGGGTAGTAAATTTGTTTTTTTACTCCAACTTCTACACCATTGATCTAATATAATCATTTGAGATTCATTTTTAAATTTCGTGGACCATTCTACATAAAAAAGGAATACTTGTTGAAAATCGGTATAGTGTGTCGTTTTACCGAAAATCTCAGTTGGGAAATAAATTAACCTTAGAATTCAAAACAATATTAAATAATGTCTCTACATCGGCAAAACGACTAGTAAATTTTAAATATAATCCCTTGTGTATTATTTATTGCATTTGTAATGTGGTGAATTCCTTCCCTGAGGTCATTTTTTTATGGCGCTGCAATGCGGTGGACAACATGTTCAATGGCATCTACTCTAAAATTTCATGTGTGTGTCATTCTAAAGCAATTATAGTTATCCCTGCTCATTCAACGGTCCGTTTGTTTCAAACAGATATTATTCCTTTAAAAAATTACACCTACATATTAATTTTAAATCAGTGCTGTGCTTACAGTATCCGTACACAATGATTGCCATGAATAAACTGTCATTTTATTCATCATTCAACTGAGACTTTCGGTAAAACGATACACTATACCGATTTTCAACAAGTATACCTTTTTTATGTAGAATTATCCATGGAATTTAAAAATGAATACCAAATTATTATTAGGTCATTGGCGTAGAAGTTGAGGTAAAAAATCTCGCTTTACTACCCATTCCTACGCCACTGACTTACAACAATTTGTAATTTTACAGTAAGTTATGCACATGTGCAAATGTTAACACCACACCAAATTTGAATCAATTTGTTATAAGCATATCAAAGATTTCGTAAATAATATGATTTAAAAAACCGACCAATACGGCCCTGTATAGTGAAAACGGTGAGACTTAGACCCTTGCTTTATAAAGCAATTCTGAATTATTTATTAAGTTCCATTTATGGTTAAAGTTTGATTCACTCGAACTGAAACACCCTGTACATTCATAATTCAATGGTCCACAAATATGTGATATTTTTAATTTTTCATCGTCACTTAATCTCTCTTACTTTGTAACGTACTCAAATATGCTTTTTTAAATTATTAAGCAGAGTTATACCTTGTAGAGTAACGCAACGGTTTTTCGTCCTCCCCGCATTATTTGTTCCTGCGATTGATAACACCTAACACCTATGTATTTCATGAATCTGTTGTCAATTTAATTGTATATTGCGACAATTTCCTTTGCATAATTGGTGCCAATATTGCGGCAACGTCGGAGTAACATTGAATTCGCTGTGACCTTAATCTTGACCGCAAGGCCAATTAAAGTAAAAGGTCTAGGTGAAGGTCAAGTAAAATTTTCTGAAGAATCCATTCCCAGGGTTGAAAATAGGGGACCCATTTTCAAATTATGAAGTTGACCTCCAATTGAGCTTCAAGGTCAGGGTTAAGGTCCAATAAGATCCAATTCAAGGTCAGCAACCGTTTTCCCTCAATGAACTGAACAACTTTCATTTAGATCATTTTTGGATCGGATGCTTCACGTGTGTCTTTTAATATGGGACACGTGGTAGGACCACAGTAATGTAGTATCTAATTTTTAACAAAGCATTTTTTCCGCACAATATTTTCAAATTTATTGTGTACTTCGGCAGACAGTATTTCTATTAATATAGTGGTTGGATTTGTATATTTGTTATCCAAAACTTTGCAAGACAAAAATATATTTTTTTCGAGAATAAATAAGTGGGAAAAATGAAATATACTCGTATTCTCATTTTATTGAATGAGTTTATTTATATTTATTCCAAAATATTCTTGATGAAAGATGCAAGCATGCATTTCTCTTACGATCGTAACGTCACATATCTACTGGGATTTCCAATCTCAGTGCAGCTACCCCAAGCATAAAAATAAAGAACTTGATTCGAGAGCTTGGTAGTGTGTTGTATGATTGTAAAACAAAAACAGTAAAAAGGAGATGATCGGCTTCTTCTAGATTAGTCTTACGAACTTTAACGATCATTACAATAAAAAACTTGTTTTTTGTACGGACAAAGACGGGTTTATTTTTTAATTTAACCACACGGTGTTACTTCGCAAACTTAGATCGTAGACTGTATGGTTTTTCTCAAAATAACATAAACATGGTTCTGTACAGGGGGAATCACTTCATGGTGCCCTCAAATACGACAGGCACTATTATTGAATGATGCCTTAAGCTTTCTTGTAACTTTCATACCAATTGGGTTAAAATGACTACGGGAAAATATGAAAATTGAATATGACATCCACAAGAAAAAAAACTGATTGTTGTTAACTAAAATCTAATTTTAGAAAAATTCTAGAATGAATGTCTGAAAATTTTGAAAACTAATATTTATAACTACAAGGTTATTCAAATATAAAATTCCATGGGCTATGAAACCAAAAACACCATCATGTTACCATTTCTATGCGAGTATAGTTAAGCGAATCACCTTGGATAGATATAATCAATACAAATTTTCAGTTTGACTTTAATCATTTTAACTGAAGGTGTTTGAATAAAATATTTTAATGGCCTTTTCCATATCGCAAATTGACTAAAAAATGTTTTATTTTCAACATTCAGGGTATTAGCGCGAGTATTATATGTTTTATTTCAGACTGTAAGAGAGCCATTTTCCTAAAAATTGGTAGATAATAGCTCAGTCTTTTGATTTGGAGACCATAAAACTGTTATAAACAAGAACATAATTCGGAGGTCAGCTTACTAATTGCCACCTTTATTTTCCTATTATTTTTAAAGTAACTATTTAA